TGAATATTTATAATGGCTTTAAAGTAAGCCGCAATCGGAAGAGAATCACATGGTGAATTTCTGTTTGCGTTGGTGGTGGAACTCCGTCTGACCTATCCTCAGCTGTCTTGCGAAATTGAAAGTCACCAACTGACCGAACTTTTGTTAATCCCCTCGTACATGTGAATACCAAATTTTTCGCTTGTAGATGCTTTTTTGGCGGATTTTTTACTAAAAACTTGGTATCTGAACAAATCTGATCTTTGGGGATTATACGATATAGTCCTTCGATTTCGATGCTTTTCGGTACCGATGTTTAGTTCATTAATTATGTGCGTAATACCAAATTTGGTTAATATCTCGGAGCCAGACGGCGGCGGAAGCCGAGTGGTTAACATTACGTTCCGAATGTCAGGTTCATAACCCGGTGCCACCAACATCCAAAAGTTGTGGAAAATTGATTTAAATAAAAGAATAAGTTAAATTTTCAGGGAACGTCCACCCCTCCGACTGTATTTCGGGCATGTAATAAAGGCTCCTCATAAAAAACCCCATTAGCCGTTCGGAAGCGACTTTGTATAAAATTTAGGTCCCTCCATTTGTTGGAAAAACATCAAGACTCAAAAACCACATATTAGAGGAGGAGCTCGGCCGAAAAATCGCTTCAGTGGTTACAAAGCGCCAAATTTCACGCACTTTTAGTTCCGAAAAATTATTTATTAAATGATCCAGTGAATCTATGCAGCAAGATTAGTGAAATATCTCAAAAAATGAGGAACTAGTATGCGTAGAAGCCGACGAAAAGACGAACATGGCTAAATCAAGTCAAGTCGTCGTTCTGTTTATGTCGATTTTTATGAAAAAAAAACCTCTATCCGCTTCTTCTTTCAGGGCTTATATACTTTGAAAGTAGCCGAAGCAGACACGTGTGTTATACCGGCTCCAAAAGTTTAATGCGGTACTTCTTCTTCAGTATCAACCCCCACACTAATGCCCCATATGCTAGCTTGGGTCTAACGACACTTTTGTAAAGCCAATGCATATAGAAGATTAGGAAGGATAGGAAGCTTGGAAGTGTCTTTGCCTGCGCTGTGTCTGTACAAGTTTTATAGAAACCTCTACTCCTGAAATGTGCTACAACCATAGACAATGGTTACATTAAGCTCGCTGGTGCTTGGTTTCTAATCATATGTTCGCTAACTGTAGCTGTCATTCAAATAATTTTCTGCTTACTGTAAAATGCGGTCGGGTTTTGGTGGCGTTATTTCAATTCAAAACTTCCGGTAATTGCGTCACCAACATTACCAAGCCGTACGAGACCCAACACTCAGCCAACTGAGCAAACAAATATTTGGCAGTCTATCAAAAGCCGGCTACTCTGCTCCGTCACTGTCGCAAACCGTTGTTGTTGCATCGAGGTGGAAAGCGAAAGACTCCAAATAAATGTCACATACGAGTACATACATACATACATATGCACATACGTTGTCATGTTACAGAGGAAAAAAAATGAAACGTGCTCATGTAGCTCATGGTGGTAGTTGCACCATTTCTGGTTGTTCCTCTTCACCAACAGACGAGTATGCACACCTCAGCAACTTGAGCTTGTTGTTCTTCAGACTTTGGGTTACAAATTAACCACTTGCCTTCTTTTTTGAATTTAAAATTACCTTTAAAAATGTTGTTGTTGTAAGACCCGTAGTTGTCTTGTTATCGTGTTTGCGCTTTTTGATATTAAGTCTATTTGGTTTGTTGTTGTTTGCTCATTAAAGCTTTTAACTTAATTTTAGTTATACTAACAACATGTTTTTGTTATTGTTGTCGAGTTAGTTTAGTTGATATCATTTGTGTCACTAGATTTCAAGAAAATTTCAAACGGATATTCATACATACATACATATTTGCAAACATAGTACATGCATATATGTATGTATATATTGGATGAGTGCATAAGTTCGTGCCCGATTTCAAGTGCAAAATAAAATTGAAATTTTTTGAAGAAAGCGCTTTTATTAATCAATTATGTATTCGCCATCATGTTCGGCAATCCACTCCCAACGTTCAACCAATTTACGGATGCCTGATTCATAGAAATCGCGCGGTTTCTCGTTGAAAAAGGTGTCAATGTGGTTTTTGACATCTTCCACATTTTTAAATTTTTTTCCATTCAAATTGTTCTGCAGCGATCGAAACAAATGATAATCAGAAGGTGCAATGTCGGGTGAATATGGGGGATGCGGCATGATTTCCCAATTCATCTCCTTCAGTTTGGCCAGGGTCGGTTTTGCAACATGTGGCCCGGCGTTGTCATGATGGAAAAGAACTCCTTTGCGATTGGCCAAAAACGGACGTTTTTCATCAATTGCTTTCTTCAATTCGACCAATTGCTGACAATACTTGTTGGCAGTGATCGTTTCTCCAGCTGGCAAGAGCTGAAAATAGATCACGCCTCGGATATCCCACCAAATGAGCAGCAGTACCTTCATCGGATGCAATCCACCTTTCGACATCGGTTCCGCCCCTTCGTGTGCCTGTTTCCATGTTCTTTTGCGTTGAACATTGTTGTACAGGATCCATTTTTCATCACCAGTCACGAGCCGATCCAAATAAGGTTCGTTTTTGATCCGTCGAAACAAAGAAATTGCTGTTGACATACGGTCCACTTTGTTTTTTTTCACTCAACTGATGGGGCACCCATGTATCGAGCTTCAAAGTGTACCCAACCTTTTTTAAACGACGAAACACGAAACGCAGTTGATTTGTTGACGTTCAATTCAATGGCAACCTCTTCCGTCGAAATACGTGAGTTATTCGGAACTAAAGTCCTTAGAACATCGTCATCATGCTCAGAAGGCCGTCCACTGCGAGGTTGATGTTCGAGGTTAAAATCTCCAGAACGAAATTTCGCGAATCATTTCTTTACTGTGCGGAGTGCTGGAGCACGGTCCAAATAAATTTCGCGAATATCTTTAGTTGCAGCGCCTACTGTTGTTCCTTTGCGGAATGAATGATGCATATGATCTTTTTCGTTGTCCATCTTCCATGCGTCTTTTCACTAAGCAACTCAAATCAAAATGAAATTATTTTCAGCTTGATTTACGGTTCGGACTGTCACCTTTCCAACGATATATGATATGTATATATTTCTTTCACGAGCGCCACTCTCAAACGATTCGAACGGCATCCAGCGGAATCGGGCACGAACTTATGCACTCATCATACTTGAAGTAGTGAGTACTCCCTAGAGAGGCTCGAATTTCATGGGCCAATTTTTTACAATGGCTACTAGTCAACTCCTCCCATTTGTGGTGGATATGCGTCTTGACATTTTACCTACAATTGGAGGGACCTACAGTTTGTTGTGAGCCGCCCACGAGCGGTCGATGGATTTTTATGAGGAGCTTTCATTTCATGTGAGAAATAGTCTAAGACGGCTTGACATTCCCTGTCGTGAAGCTACCGCAATCAGAAAAATGTATTTTGGATGTTGGTCGTACCAGCACTCGAACCCTGGCGTTCCGAACGGCAGTACGCAATGCGACCATTCTTGCTTTACACAAAATTCCAAGAAAAAAGTACCTAAATTTGGGTAAAATTGACCACGACCGTTTGCGCTCGATGTTGTCGTTAGTGACCCATTTGTCAACGCCAGTCACAACCCGCTTCAGAAACGGGTCGATTTTCTTGCGGTTCAGCAACGATTCGCAGATGGAAATTCGGTTCATCATGTTTTTTTGCGCTAGTTCGCGTGGCACCCAAACATCGAGCTTCTTTTTGGAACCAAGGTTATGCAAATGGTTCCAAACGGTTTTCTGGTTTATCTTTAGTTCCTAAGCAATTAAATAAGTGCTCACGTAACGGTCTGTTTCCACAATTACCATGATTTTATCGCAATTTTCGACGACAGGCCTCTCGACGCGTGGTGCATCTTCGACATTGAAATTACCGGAACGGAACCTAGCAACTCACTTTTGAACTACACGTTCGTTTACAGTATCTTATGGGCCCGATACTAAATTAATTAATTAATTAATTAATTTTTTCAGCCGCTTCGGCTGCTTTTTCGCTTTGATCGAAGAAAAACTGTTAAATATAGGGAATTTTCTCTTCGCCGTTGTCCATCTTTGACGAGCGCTCACAACGTACTGAGCCGATCAATCGAAAAACTGTCAAAGACAAACTTTTAGCACAAATAAACACGTTTTCAGTGCCGTATAGTATGACATGATGCGACACGTAACACTGGTACTATGGACAATAACGCCATCTCTTAGATGAAAAACCGAACGAACTTTTTACTTGACCTAATAATTTAAATTTAAATCGGTTTTATGTGCAATTCGGTAAATAAGGACATTCAAAGGAAATGTTTGTATGTAGCCTTGTACAAAATATTGAACACGCTGCGGGCAAAGTAGAGCAATATGAAATATGTATACATATATCTACATTCGTATATGATTCGTCCAGTTGCTTGGGTAATTTTTGGACAGCAAAGCTAACTAAGGCCGATGCAATGCAAAAGGTCAAGCAGGCAAGTTAATGTTGTTGCATTTCCTTTATTATAATTTTTACATGTATGTAGGTACATCGTAGTCTGTATGCATCTCCTGAGCCATTGAGAGTGTGTATTGTAAATAAATCTCCTAAAGAGACAGAAAAAATGAGAGTGGAAAAAGAGCAATGACGCAGAAATAAATGCTACAAAATGCAGTATAGGATCTACAGCCAACTATATCCACCAATAAATGTACATACATTTATTTACATATGTACATATGTATGTGGGTATTTTCATAAAACAATACAACGAAATGCCTGCAATTATGCTGTCTATATCCTTGACTTCCATAGAATATTAACGCAGGTCGACCCCCACATTGTAGTACATATGTATGTATATTGTAATAAGAATTTGGCCTTGTAAACAAGATACAACTTTGGTTTGAGCATCACTCACATTTCCATGTATATTTATAGATATGCATACTCGTTTTCATATTTAAATATGTCATACTTACTTCCGGTGGATCCCAAACGCATTCGCCAGTTGTCAGGTTGGCATACATATGCTCTTTGGTACGTGGCTCGATAATTTCCACCCATTCTATTCTGCAATAACAAAGGAGGTAAGATTAATTTAAACATGCAGATTTTTGAAACTCATATTTATGTATATATGTATGTGTTCTCTTTCGCAACCGACCAGCAAAAGAACGTTAGGTGGGTTATCGAATAATATGGAAAGCAATAACACAAAATAAGCAACTTGAGTTAATTTCAAGGGGGTTCAGTTGAAATCGCTTAAACAATATCTTATCAGACTAGTAATGTCGCAAAATTAAAAAAGTAAGCAAAATCGCCCCTCATACTTTATTAAAAAGAAAAACAACTAAAATAATAATCATATTCATGACTGTAAGAGAAATGGCGAGGAAGATGCACCGCCGGAGTAATCACGTATTTTCTGAGATACTAACTTGTGTGGACGAGACCGCAGCAGCCGAGTGCTTAGCATCGCGCACTGTCATTCGGAAGGCTCGGGTTCAAATTCCCGTGCGACCAACATTCATAAATTATAGAAAATTAATTTAAATAAAAAATTAAGCTAAATTTTCTAATTGCAATCACCCCTCGGCAGGGAATGTCAAGCTCTCCGAGTGTATTTCGGACATAGAAAAAAACCTTCACCCGTTCGGAGGCGGCTTAATAAAAACTGTAGATCCCTGTAGGCTACGCTTTGCACCAACTGATCGATGGAGTATCGGCTCGAGCTGGATGTGACAGTAATTGAGAGTCACATTCGACAGCCTGCACTACTTCACGGTTTCAAGGCAATCGCTTGGCCGGTCATTAGTTATTCTGCAGTGGTTTGGATATCGTGGACGCAGTTGAAGAAGCTACAAGCCAACTAGAAGCCTGCTTGAGGATTGTAATATAAAATCTGTTGATTTCAACTATGCATTTATACTTCCAGTTGACGAGCATAATGCTATGGTGAGTAAGCAATATCTGGAATGGTGTACTCGGATTTAGATTTATTTTAAACCTGTCCCTAAGTGGTTTAACGTAGCCGCTACAACAACAACAACAGCAAGTCATTTCCGTGAATAGTGCGCTCGGAATCCAATTACCACCCAGAGAAAACCCCAAACTGTCTCGCGAGATCCGCATAGTCCTGACTTGATCCTGACGTAATCCATACTACTCATATAACACCCCTCTCTCTTTATTGTCCGAACCCAAATCACCTCATTTCTTAGACCTTTCGTTAGTTCGTCACGGCGACATAGACTGACTTTCCTACACCTAGGCGTAGTTGATGAAGTCGCTACAGATACAGCAGAAGTTCTATGCTTTGCAATCATTGCATGTATGGGGTAGACCACGACTCATTTGAAAAGTTATATACCAAAAATAAAAGAATTCGAAGCTGGAATCAATTTATTATCTTATGATAAATTTTATTTTTATGAAATTTTCTCGCCTCCTTGGTTTTTAATGGATTTACTTAATGGAGTGAAAATTGAGATAATTTGCAATGTAGGGACAGTGTGTACGGTAGCTAAAAATATTTGGAAAAAACTGTTGTTGTTGTAACCGCAAAAATACTCTCTTACATGTTGCGGGAGTGACAGTCCTTGGTCGGATAAAAATCCGAGTCGTTCCGGTATAAAGTCCCGACTGTCGGGGGAACTATTGGATTTTAGTCGCCTATTACGACAGGCATGCCTTACCGCGGGTAAATTCTTGAACCCCTAACCCGGTGAATGACAGACAAAAACTTTCTTTAACTTGCGTGATATTCTACACATGGTCCCATCCCACTTTCAATTAGTATTTTTAACTGGCGCCAAACAGAGAGCCATTCGGCTCGCTAATATTAATTAGACTTTAATTGCGTAAGCGATGCCAACGCCAATAAGACCACGTCCAGCATGCATTGAAAAAAAATATAGCAGTCGTAGCTGAAAATGTACACAAGACCGTGGAGAGTCGATTCGGCAGCAACTCGAGATCTTACATTGGAAGCGCACAAAATATAGATTGTGCAATATCTGAAGCCGCTCGATCTACAGAGGCGACGTCGCTTCGGGGTTCTGGAAAAGTTCCAAGAAAATCCGATGTTTTCGAGGCAAATTTTGGTTCGCTTAGGCCCAATGGGTATTTAAACAAGCAAAATTGCATTGGGGACGAAGAGCAGCAATTTCAACCAGAAAATAACACGGTTTGGTGTGGTTTGAGAGCCTGTGGGATCATCGGTCCATAACTTCACGCTGGTCGTTTGCCAGTTAGCAATCGAAATACTCGAACGAGTCATCGATAACCGAACTCAACGGATGGACCATCTGAGACGTAGCCGCGTCTAACATACAGAGATAATCTTCAAAAAAGAAATGCCAAAGAATGTACTTTTGAATGATAATAAACATTCCCCATTATGTTTGAACTTTCTGTGTTTTTTTTTTCTTTCTAAATATTTAATTTAATTTTGAACTTATTAAATATTCTGAATTGCATCAAAATGTCTTGACATAATTAGAACTATGAAATAAAATTTATCGTTTGGTAACTTGCACATTTACCCAACTATGTCAACCATACAGACCATATTATCAGGCCTATTCTATAGAGGTAACAAAAGTTACTTTGGCATTAAAATTTACCATTTAGTAAATTTTATTACTATTTCGTATTCTGAGTTCACTGTCACCCTGTAAGCTTTGTTACCAGCGAAATAAGGGGTAAGAAACAATCAGCTGTTCGATTTTGTGTTGTTTATTTGTGAAAAACCAAAATGTTTAAAATTAATTGAAGATGAAGAAAAAAGTGCAAGAAGGCGCATGTTAGGAAGTCTGCGAGAAACAAATGATCATTTTAGTTTGTCATTCAGTATATTCGCCTGAACAAAACAATTTGTGGATGTTCATTTTCAATGCAAATTGTAATTTGATGTGGAAGAAAAAAGCAGAGCTGTCAAAGGTTTTTCTGACATTGTAACCAGTTCGCCAGATTACCAAATTCTATTTCGGGTGTTAAAAAAGTAACAAAATTTACTTTACCGGTAACAGTGAGAGTAGGCCGGTATGTAGAAATTGAAGTTGCCATAAAAGGCCACACAATCGGAAATGTGTTAAAAAATCTGGTTGACATACAGAACAGAAGGGGATAATGTAATTTTTTCTCGTATTTTTCTTATAACAATTTTAAAACGCAAATTTATCAAGATCTACCCGTTACTTATACAAATGTAGCTATCATACTTAAATAAATACCTATGTATGCACAAATATAATTTCCATTCAAAATTTACACCGCACTCCAATAAAACAAAAATAGCATACATACATAAGCACACATGCGTGCTCATGCATTCGATCCACAAATATATACTTTCATTCATGAATCTCATATAACTAGCTCATATACTAGTACATACATACATATACAATGTATGTACAACAGCACATATCGCCTAATAAAGTTCGCTGATATATCCTTTTGTCCAATACATGTCGAACATATTTAAATAAATGCCTGTATATACATACATACGTGTATATCCTTAGAAATTTTAACGCTCTCACACTACATTTCCCGTTTATAAATTTGAATCGGGTCGATTTGATGACTTCGGACGCGGATTATCTATTTTGATTTCCATGCAGAAGACGTCAATACATATATCACCACTAAAAAGATCTTTAATCGAACTTCAACACCACTTTACGAGGTTTTAGTTTTTATTAAATTAACTATAAGTTTTAAGCACAAATGTTTGTACCAACTCTTAAATACAATCAAATCAAACTTTATATTTAACCAACTTCCTTGCGCTCATTTTTTCCACAGCAATTCTCTCTTTTTACTAATTCGTGCGCTTTTTCTCCGGCTAAAATTTATGCATGTCGTTCATACATATGTATGTATATACCTATGTACGTACATATTTGACTTTCCGTGACAAATCGATTGTGACAAGCGCACATGGTGGATGTAAATGCAATCACATACTCGCCGGGTTTTTCATTCTAGCTCTAATTACGTTTTGCCAATTCCTTCGTTGAATTAACCAGTTATTTGTCCAAATATTTCTGATAGCCAGAAAGGTGCAATGTGCGTAGGTAGAAACTAGATAAATCTCACGAAGCCAGCAGATAGGGCATAAGTAATATATGTATGTATGTACATATAAGTAAGAAGAAGAGCAAAATGAATATGTAAACTAACAATAAGGAGCGGCTGCTGATGTGCTTTAAACTTCACCACCCCATTTATAATTAATTTTTGTCTTTTGGCTATCTAAATAAAATTATGTTGGTAGGTGCGTGTAGCCATATGCAGATTATTATTTTGCAACATAATTTAGAACACAATTCAGTTTACCCTTAAAAATACGCGCATATGTAAATAATACATATATATTTATGTACAACTCATTCTATTAATCACCAACTCCCATCCTTTTCAGTGTAGTTTGGCGAGTTACCACCGCCGCCCATATCAACCCCAAACAGACACACAAGCGCACTATTTTGCCTATATTGAGAATCTATATACAAAACGGATCTATATACACACATAGATACATTTATATACTTTTACGGGTACATCCTTCCAAATATAGTTTAGATGCATACATATATACATATATATGTATATATTCCAAAAAGTAATTTTATAATATTATTTCACATGAGTGTATATATATAAACATATTTACAAATATATTTAAATAAAGGGCTGTATAAATCAGGAAAAGATTTTCTTGTCGTACACACCTTTCATTACTGCAACTTGTACTCATTTTTCTGCAACTGTGTTCGTCTTCGATGGTCGCCGCTGATTTTTCCAAAGGCCGCTATTGAAATTCGCTCACTTTCTGCACTACGATAATTTTATAAATTTTTGCACTTTACTTTTATTACAATTCTTTTAAATTTCTAAGAACATTAAGATTTCTAACTTTCAAAAACGCACAGACTCACTGAAAACGGTTTTCACTTAAATTTTTTAACACATTTTTACTTCGTACACTGCAATTTTCCTCCGTTTTTCACTACGCTAAATACCACTCCTCCCATTTGCACTTCCTTTTTTTCTTAAGTGCTACTGCCCACATTTTGAACAAATCAAGTTGGACATTTATTTATACGCACACCACATTACGAATGCCTTGGTTTTTTTTTTTATAAAAACATGAATTAAAAAATTTGTTGTTAATTTATTATAAAATGTATACGATTGTGCATCCAGTATTATCCTAGATGAATATATATATATTTAAATAAACGATAAATTCGCGAGCTCCGCTCCACCTTAAAATTACTTGTACTCGCTCACACGCACAACAGAAATGAAGTAGGTGATAAGTGAAGAAAATAAATCCAAACGTCATGAATGAAGAGAATAAGATAATAATGAAAATGAAAAAATTAATAAAGTAGTGGAATAGACAGAGCAGAATAATTTTACAGGGTTGCATTAACGTGTTAACAACAGTACCCTCTCAAAACATCAGTAACTATTTAAATTCAAAAAAAAAAACATGGCCAATCTTAAATAAAACTATAAATATTTGTAGATAAGTTTTAAATAAAAACCAAAAATCATATTTTGCAAGCTTTGAAAACAGTGTTCTTTCCCGTACAACATTTACTGATACCGAGAAGCAAGCATCTGTTTATTGTTTAATTTGATAATTTATAAATAAAACAAAGCTGTGGAAATATAAAATTTTATTAGTATGGAATAAAGAAACAACTTTTTTTATAAAATGTAGTATAACTTATAAAGTAGAATGCTTAAAGATCTCCAATGTGAAAAATTGCTATCAAAGTTAACGCGCATAAGGTAAAATTGTTAATTTAGCTTTAGGAGATTTGATTGCCAAAATTCGCACTTGCTCCTTGTTATCCTTATTGTAACTTTTATTTAACGATATCAGACAATATGATAACGGAGGATTTGAATGTTAACATACTCTGCTTGTCCTCAAGCTATTCTTTGCTTTGCATACGTCTTGATTTGAAGCTCTTAATTTTCTCTATAGTCGGTAGATTACTAAATCAATAGCAATCTGCGGATATTGCCGCAGAATCTGACTCTGGTTTAATTAAACACAGAAGATCATCGACAAGAGAGGCTAAATTTTCATCGCATAGAAACCATTCATCTTGTTTACATATTTTTTCCTCGAAATCAGGGCGTTTTATGGTTGCAAAAAATTCGCTCACACTCACATTGGTGAATTGGCGGTAGTAAAAAGGATGGATAGTTCGCCGCTCGTTGTCTGCTCGTAGTTGAGTAGATGCAGCAGACTCGTCTGTATCGCCTTTTATGTTATTTCTCATACTTTGTTCATATGCATCCGCCAATAAATTGAAGTCTTTAGAATCCAATATAGATTCGATAATTTCGTCAGAATCGAGGAACTCCGCTGTTTCTGCATCTCCACTTACAATATCCGTATTCTTTTCTAACTTTACTGCTTCATTTAAGGCACTTTTAAGCATCGAATCATTTTTATTTAACAAATTATCAGGTGTTGTGTTTATATCGTTGCTATTATTGGATGTTGTTGGATTGTTGTGAATTGTATTAGGAGTGACATTATCTGTTGCAGTTATGGTAGCTATATAATTATATTTATCCAATTCAGTTACCAATCTTTTTAAAAATGCTTTAGCCTCTAATATTACAGCAACATCGCAATCTTCACTTAAGCACTTTAATATCACTCCAAGACATCCTTGTTGTGACAGTTCATTCATCATTTTAGTGAAACGAAGATTTATTTCTTTTTCATTTAGTTGGACGATCTTTCTTTTTTCTTTAGAGAAAGTTACTGGTGGAAAGACACCATCAATCATACCCTCATCAGACAGCAAATTGCATATCACACTTTTCCAGCAACGAATAGCTCCCACCTTTACCTCCCAATGCAAATCGCTAACAGCGCAATAGGCCAATGTAGAATAGAAAATATCTTTATGGCGACTGGCTATTTTGCGTTGCAAATTCATAGTGCAAAGAACGTCCATAGCTTCTTTGCGGACAATTGCTTCTGGTTCATTGTAGAGTACATCAAATAAATGATCCTGAATATATAAAAAGAAAAATATTGATATACATATGCACATATTCATTAACAATGTTATATTCATATGAGTACATAGCACTAGCACACAAAATCAAAAAACACCAGAACTCAAAAAAATCACAAATGTCCAGCAGTGTTGTTGTTCAGGTAAGAAGGTATATAATTTAAAAAAAAAAAGTTAGCAGCCTTTAGAGAAGTGTTATGAATTATAGAGTGTTGTTACGTTTTTTAATTTAGTGGCGATATGTACATATTGTAAACAAGACTTACTGCTACATTTTGTTTGCAAAGATCTATCTCCCATATATCATCAATAGATATAAAGTGCGATATGCATCTTAACGCCGAGGCACGTACATAGGGCTCTGAATCGTTTTTGGCCATATCGTATATGTATCGACACATCCAATGTTCAGACAAAAATTTTTGAAAAACGGGGTATTCTATATGGTAATAAAGAAAAATGTATCATATTTGTGTAAAATTATATAAATTATTAGGCTCCTTACTTAGACGGGATATATCAGCAATAGAGATAACTAACTCTATCGTGCTATCGCGCACCTCCCAGGCAGGATCATGATACCGTTTTAGAATAGCTGGGCCCATCCAGAGCAGAGAAGAACCTTTAAGGTTATCCATTAACAGTGCCATATTTGGCGCAAGAAAGTGTTCTAATGAAAGCTGTAATAATTTAAGTGATTGTACAGCCACCTGCAAAAAAAAAATATACTTAATTATACCACAACAAAAATGAAATAAATCTTACTTTTACTGGCAGATCATCAGCTTGTAGTATATGCAAACTACAATTAACTAAGCAAATTGTCTCGATGGACTCTTTCCATGTAATTTTAAATCGTTTTATCAACGTCTGCATTGCAATCAAAATAGCATGTATTGTATTGGAGAATTCAGATATAATTGTAAAGCTCGGTATTTCTGCTGCAACGGGATTGGAATCATCGGGATCATCCATAGCCGCATTGGGATATAGTTTCATCATGAATTCCTTAAGCGCATATATGCAAGCTTGAAATACGAGCACGGCCTGATCATGCTCCAATATATCTACCATTGCCATGACACCGTGAATTGCTTTCAGAGATAAATCTGCGTTCATTGCTGGTTGATTATTAAAAAGTGAATCTCGGTAAGCATAACCAATGCGTAACGTGTGCTCGCAAACAATTTCGAAAATTTTTGTCATATACTTTTCGAAGATTTCTTCTTCGGTAAACTCGTGGGTACGCAAAAGCATATACAGTGGCAAAATCTGAAAAGTTATTAGCTGATTTTCAAATCGTACCAACTCGTTTTGTATATAAATGTCCTTAGGAACACGATTACCAAGCTTTCTCCACAATTTATGGTTGACTTCTGCCACTTTGAGGAAGGTTACACAGTAATTTCGAGAGATACAAATTTTCATTTCATTGAATATTGAGACGCAGAGATCAGTAAAACACTCTGGGGAAATCTGGCATCCATTCCATTTTTCATTTACTAATCTAGCATAGAAAAATGACGACAATGTTGATAAAATTTTACTCATAAAATGTTCATCATGGGACGTTTCCGTTAGTTTCCATAAAGTAATTTCAATATCGTGTTCTACTTTGCAATATTCAGCAATGTTTGACTTTTCTTCAGAATCGAGTGTCTGTTGCAGAATAAATGAGAACAGCGATAGTGATGAAGACAATTTATGTTGTAACTCATAATCATCCACATTGATCAGAATGGTATCTTTGTGACTATCGTACACATTCTCAAGAATAGGTTTCAAAATCTCCTTCAGAATTTCTTTCACTAATTTCTCGTCATTTGTTTTTACATCGAATTTATAGAGCATTTCGTATAGCAAATGACGCGCTTCCCGCACTACGTACACCGTGTGATCTTGATTGCAATATTCTATGAGGAACTGCCAGGCGTTTATGGTACGTAAATAGGCTAAACCAATGCTGTATTTAGAAATAGCATGCAAAAGCCGTATAACACCCAATTTAATGGAGGGGTTAAACCTATAAGATTCGCGCTTCACCACCACTAACATCCTGAAAAATATGTATGTTAAATTATTAAAAGAGAAAAATTATAATATACAAACTTGTCAACTAAACGACGCTCCCTTATCTCGATTATGGTCCATTCATTATTGATAAGCAAACCAAATATATTGAAAACAAATGAAATGACTTTTGGATTCAATTTGCTAAAGTCCTCAAACAAAATGTTAATACAACGATCAACCCAATCCAATGCAAAAGGGGCCTGCAGTATATAGGCATTGTCTGCAATAATTTAAGGTATAATCGATATTCTAGATAGATTGAATATAATAATGTTTAACCTTTTGCAGCCAAGTGTACAAGGAGCTTTTCAAAGTAAACATTATTATTTGTGATGAAATTTTCATCTAGAAAAGATTCAAGTATTTTCCTCAAATTCGATGCAATTTCCAGTTTGGTTTCCATCTTGCAAATAAATTATTGATTTTTAAACATATAATCTGATGCACTTTATTTTATTAACATATTACAACGCCATGTAACACAATTTAAAATGATCTTGTTTTTGTTCTGAAATTGATATTGTATTGTTATCACAGAGGGAACAAAATTCCGATTTAGCGATTCGGGCTTATCGATAAATCAAAAACTAGAACATGTTATAAATGCTTACATATTGCTTGGACCGATACCGAAAACACATCGATGTGCACCGGCTTTTAATTTGACAATTTTTGCTTACATTTATACAAGGAATTATGTATATAACATATTTAAACAGTAAATCAATAAAATAGGAGTTGATATTAAATTTTAGAAAAACTAAAAAAACTGGCGATCATAAAAATATTGAGGTTATGAGAAAAATCCAAAATCTTTTGCAGGGATTTTTCGATTTTGATAATATTGTAGCACTTTTTAACGTGAACGGGAAAACTATATAATCAAAGGAAATTTATTTATGATCACGTGAAATCCCGGATAATGCTTATAGGATCAGTGCAAAGAAATTTTTGTATGCCACAAGTTTATTTTGCTAACGGAATACAAAAATTTTGCAAGCGATTACGATTCTTTATAGTTAGATATTTGAATTTATTTCAAGTAATCAATGAGTAAACTTCATCTAATTAAAATAAAATTAATTGCAATAATTTATTATTTATACAAAAATTGTTATTGTTTAATATATCCCACCTCATACTTTGATCTCTCGATGATATATTATTGATATTACTAATGGTCGATACTTCATTCACTGTTCTATTTTAAATTAGTGCAACTTTGATTGAAAGCTCAGGTACATTTTCCATTCGTTGAACACGTATTATTTATTCCCAATAATAGAAATGCTGTTTAGCTTCATTTATATATTTTTGTTGATTTGAAATATAAATTAACTTGTTAATGCACTAGTTCTCATTTACCAATCACGTATTAAGGCAAATATGAGGTGCTCGTATAATAAACTCACAAAAGTGGATATAATTTAAGAGGGTCGTTGGAGAAGAATTTACTTGACTTATAAAAAAAAACTGATTGCGCAAAAATTATAAAACCTTCATGAAAAAATTAGTGTACGTTAAAATAGGAATTTCGCTTTAGCGCGTACTATGGACAATAATGTACACGGAGCGACACAAAACGGCAGCAACAAAAGCAATAACATCACGGCAAGTGCAGTATCAGCGGCGGAGGTAAATAACGCTACAACAACGGCAACAACTACAGAATTGATAACCAATAAAAACAATAACATCGGAGGCAGAAGTGGGAGCTCATCATTTTGGAAGAATAGCGGTCGATTGGTGCCGGGACGACCGAGTCCAAAGCGTGGTGACATCAAAAATTTTAGCGGTGGAGGGGTAGGTTTGGTCGGTGGAAAAAGTGACGGTATGGTGTCAACATTTCGTGATTATCAGCAGTCGGTTAGTGATGCTTGGGACATGGGTGATGACGAATTCTGTATAATATCCGGAGCAGAAGCAAGTGGTTCATCGGGTAAAGGTAAGTCGTCAAATGTTAATTTACAACGGAAATTTGAAATATAAATCCTTATAAAACAAATAATAAATATATTATATCGTCATCATGATAAGATGTACAAGTTAAGTTAAGTTTTTTTTCTCTATTCATTTTGCTAGAATCGCGTATATCAAAAAAAGCAGCACAAACCGCAGCTATAAATGTAATTGAAACGCATCGAAATTCGGCAAATATTACCACCGCCCGATTAGCAGCAGGACCTACCACAGTGTCAGCAACTGCTGCCAATCTAGTGCCAACAACAGAAGAACAAAAATGCCACAACTCGCAAAATTCGATCCAAAGAACTGAAGAAGCAGAACAAACCAATGATTATAAAAATGATACAGAAGCCAGGTTGAATGAAAAAATATACATAAAGTTTTTTTTTATGAATATAATATCGTATTCATTATTTCAGAGTTAAAGTAGTGCGAAATTTCCACGCTTATCCCGGACGTCCACAGTTGCAAAAATTTAGCTCGAATACCCAAGAGACGGAATATGAAACGAAAATCGAAAAATTTCAACTTCTACTTGAATCGCCACTTTTAGACTTGGTAGCATTGAAGAAGTTGAGTTGGTCCGGGGTGCCGAGAAAGGTACCTAAACAAATCGTTATGCGTAGAATTTTTATAAATGTGTATCAATCGATTTTCTAGATGCGTGCTGTTAGTTGGCGTTTGCTATCAAAATATTTACCACCAGCTGCGGAACGAAGAGATGCGGTGCTCGAAAGCAAAAGACAAGGTTATCAGGACTTAAGACATAACTATTTCAGAGTTGACAGTCAGGATGAGTCCCAGCAGGACACATACAGACAGGTTTGGATGATGAAAAACTTTCCCTTTAAAGAGATTTAAAGTAAAAAGCTTCAAATTGTTTTCCTCAGATACATATCGATGTGCCACGCATGAATCCGCAGATATCACTTTTTCAACAGAAGTTAGTGCAGGAAATGTTTGAACGCATTTTATTTATATGGGCGATACGTCATCCAGCTTCTGGCTATGTGCAGGGTATAAACGATTTGGTAACACCGTTTTTTATAGTCTTCATGCAAGAAGTTTTGGAACCAGGTCGGCGAAGTCTACTTCGATGGGTTTAATTTCATTAATAAATAATTTTTTACTTTCTTATAAATAGGCACTGATTTAGAAAAATTTGATATTAGTACCTTATCTATGGATAAAAGAGACGCAATTGAAGCAGATTCCTTTTGGTGTCTATCTAAATTTCTTGACTGCATACAAGATAATTACATTTTTGCACAGTTAGGTATACAAGAAAAGGTGAATCAATTAAAAGACCTCATACAAAGAATTGACGGTGAGTTCGGGTGTGATTATCATAAAAAATAAGCAATTTTGTGTTTTATATTCATTATCTACTGATTAACTTTAGGAAATCTCCATCGCCATCTGCAAGCGCATGGCGTTGACTATCTCCAATTCTCTTTTCGTTGGATGAACAATTTATTGACCCGTGAGCTACCATTACATTGCACCATACGATTGTGGGACACATACCTTGCAGAATCTGATGGTTTCGCTCTCTTCCATTTGTACGTATGTGCGGCATTTCTGTTGCATTGGAAGGATCGTTTAATGCAACAAAACGATTTCCAGGTAACTTAGTATTGTATATAATTAATTTTTATGTATTTATGCATATTCAAAAATATTTAACTTCAATGTACATATTAAAGGGTCTAATGCTACTGCTACAAAATCTGCCAACGGAAAACTGGTCTGATCGTCAAATAAATGTTTTAGTTGCCGAAGCGTTTCGCCTGAAATTTACCTACGCCGATGCGCCAAAGCATTTGGAAGCGAAAAGTTGACACCAAAAGAATAAATATATTTACGAATTCGTGGCATAAATTTGAATAACAGAATACACGTGGTTTTACTGCAAGTGTACGAATGCTTATTTATTCTCTAAACAGGCGATTAACTGCAACAATAATCCAAATATATAAAAACAAAATAATTTAGCATAAATATGCGGTTATAATAATAAATCATTTATTATTATGAATTAATGCAAATAATTTGTATATATTACATAAAAAAAGTTTAACTCAACGATGCAATTTTTTTTTTTCCTGGTGAATCATAATTACGACGCGTCTATCAAATATTGAAATGTAAACAAAGTTGCAATTCTTTTATATATTAAACGTAAAAATAAAATTAAAGCGAATTGGTATCATAAAGAACTCTTAAAATTATTTAAAAATATGATGCCCATTCAAACATAAATACAATCCAATACAATTTTACATACACCAAATTAATAGTTTGTCTGTTTGTTAAGAACGGGCCTATTTAAAATCTACTAACTTTCTACTAATGCCTGCAAAAGAGTATTAAAGAAGTTACCAAAATATATAGTTATATAGATGTCTTTTAACATTCTGCACCTAATTCTGACGTTCATTTAAGTGTTTCAATTGCTTCAGGACTGTGTCCAATAGTTTCTTTTTGTCGTTTTTACGTAGAACTGAGAACATCGTTTTCTTGTCCGCTTCCCGTATTTTTTCTAAAATAACGATAATCGTTTGTGGATGCACTAAATGGTAGCGGTTTTCTTGTTTGCCATAATCATGCAAATACGTGCTCCATTCCTCCATTATGAGTAGATCCAATAGTTGTCGATTTTTGAGAAAATATTTAGAAAGTTCACCTTCACGTAATCCAGGCACTGGTTCTGACGCGGCAAAAAACTCGCACTGCAAAAGATCCAAATTGATTTGTTGTAAGGCTCCAGTTGAAATTTGTTTCACTTCTTCATCGAAGAGTATGTCGTAGATTTTATTTGCAATGTGCTCACACGTTCGGCGACAAGCGGTTTGTGCAATGCCTGGCAATTTGAAAGCAAAATTGTCAAAGGTACTCTTTAGATATGAAATCATATCAGTAATATAAGCTGATGCTATGCCTGGTGGTTCGATGAGTAGCCAATCGTATGCTGCTAAATCAAAGAATTCATCTATTTTGGAGCAAATGCGTACGCCAACTTGTTTTTCGGCTTCTTGACGTGCCACATGAAACATAGCTGAGGGTGTTTGTGAAATGTTGCTTACTGTGTTTGTCATGTGACAAACGAACTCATCCAAAAATGGTCCTGCTTTTTCCAAGTACTGCGTATCAACGATGATTTGAATCAATTGTGGCAGTGCGACACTTGGATTACGAAAAACCATAGAAAGGCAACCACTGAAGCTGCGTGTCAACAACAAATTGGCTGCCTTGCGAACCATTGCAGCCACTTCATTTGGTGAAAGTGTAAGCTCTTCGGCGAATTTCATACACGCGTACATGAATTCCTTCGCCTGATGATACACCTCTGGCACCATACGCGAAAAAGGGAATTTTTTTGGAAACGCTGCGTTTTCCAATTGTTCCGAATGGAATGGGAAGCGTTCAATAATAGATTCGTATTCCTCTTGGTTTTCAACAATCATGGGTTGAAATTGTTCTTTGTCTAGTATGTCGCGAAAAACATGTACCCAACGTTGAAGCAATACCTGTAAAACATTTCTATTTATTTTTAATGTTCTAATGGCTGATTGAAAAATCTATTCTTACCTCATTATAATGATCTCGCATATTGTGAAGGCACTCGAATAGCATGTTTACAGTGTAGCCGTAACACTTAAAAGTGTTTATGGAAAGCATAATTAAATTTTTTATGCGCAGCAAAATATTTGGATCTGTACAAGAAGATGATGACATGCTAATTTCGTTTACGAACTTCGTAAGAGAGGTGGACCACAAATCTTCTAAGTACGAGCTGGTTACAACGTCACCAGCTGTATTTTTTACATGATCTTCCACGATGAAAAAACCAACAATTGCACAGATATATGTTTTGTATGCTTCTAAATTATCGTGCATTCCCGGTGGAGGTTGCAGCACCAGCTTTGATTGATCTCGACGCTGCTGTCGATAATCCTTTTCAAAATACTCACGTTGCCCTAACACCATGTAAATATGTAAGCAACGATATATGGGTGAGAAGTCAATAAGATCTTGTGCACTTAAGTCATTCTCCTCATCGCGATTTTCCTGTTGGCGGCGTAGCTTATGCTCTTCAATAATCGCATTTATGTCGAGTTTCTGCAACTTTTTTGTATGGGTTATAGCCACTTCACCAATTTTAGGTGAAAATTTTCGTATATTTTCAAGAAATTCACGAAAATCTGCTTCGGCAGATCGCCTTATATTCTCTTTAATAACTGGTATGGACTGTCGAATTTGCGCCGCAAAACGATAATTATTTAATCCAACTAGGTGTTGTGATTCCAAAGTTTCCAGGGTACGAAGAGATTGATAATACTGCTTATTATTAGCTTGTTGGGTAAACTTGATGTAACATTCAAGTGCCGGTAGGCAAGCTTGAAGTGCGTCGATAGCACTAGCTAAATTGGATTCGATTTGACGAGCGCGCACTAAATCTTGTCCTTGTTGTAAAACCGACGCACTAATTTGTTGTAGAGATCTATCCAATGTGTGAACTTCTTCGTGTAATTGCTTAGCTTGTGAGCGTACTTGTAGTAGTTCCTGTATTGAATCTATGAATCCTTGATAATATAGATTGCATATACGTTCTATATCCTTATCATGGCTGCGAATGCGCTGCTCCAACTGTTCTGACAACGCCTCCGTATTGTTACCTTTAATTGTCGGAATGACATCAATACGAAGTGGGTGGATATAAACTTATTCCTTTACAAATTACCTTCCAGTATGGAGCGAAAAGTAGGTCCCCAATAATCATCCACAGCTTCTATGTCCTGTACTGTTACTTTCGACATATTTTAATATTTATTTATATATTTTTTTGCAAAAACAAATCAATATAAACTAAACTAAGAATCTGATAAGAAAAAATATATAGTTGTAAGTTCTTCTTTCCCAATGACCTATTCGCAATAGGTACCTTTAATATGCGTGTTGTGTTTGTAACGTTTCCATTAGAAACTTGTAAACTTTGCTGTTATTTCCTTTGTTTAAAATGCATACAATTTTCATTAAAAATTAATTTTTATTATAACATCAATCGCTAAATAGTATTAGAATATTTATTTTGTATTTACTTTTATTGTGAACGTAGGTAACATATTTATTTAAACTTTTATTGTGATCTATATAAATTTATGGTGGTTGCTCTCGTCGCACCCAAATATTTTGTTTACATTTGCAATTGCTTTTGCTACATATGCGATTATTACATGTTGTTGGTGTAGAATTACTAGCTGTTGAATATATCGGCTGCAGCAGACGATGAGCGAAACAACTTAACAACTTTCACTTTATAATTGAATGGTCAGCCAATCCGGTTAAGCATTTGCGTGCTGTACTGAAATCTTTACGAAAGTACAAAAAAGGTTAATTTGAGTTTATAGAATTGAAGTTATTTGAAAAATTAATTTATAAAGTTTTGATGGTTTAACTTAATGACTGCAACAGCTAAAGTAAGAAGCCGCAATGGCTGCAAAACCGCAGACGACAACAACGGTGGTGAAGAGACTTTCCACAAAGATCATATAAAGTTAACGAAGGGCGTTGAAAATGCTGCTGACAGCATAATAAATAATTCACGTTCCATGGTCACCACCGTTTTCATATCACTTTTGTTCGACTTACTGGCATTTACGATGATCCTGCCACTCATGCCTTCCTTGCTTGAGCACTATCGCCAAAACGATAGCTCAGGCTTGTATAGTATGCTGACGCGTCGTATATCCTGGTTTCAGCAAATGGTTGGTGCACCCGAACGTTATATCTCGGTTTTGTATGGTGGCTTCCTGGGGTCCATGTTTAGCTTCCTGCAATTTGTAGCAAGTCCCATAGTGGGTGGACTTTCAGACTATTATGGCCGTAAACCTTTAATGCTTATTTGTGGGGTAAGTATTTTAATAAAAAAAATTTTAAAATAATTTTGACGTATAAATATTACTAAACATCTTACAGACAGGAATCGCTTTATCATACCTACTATGGGCGCTCTCCAATAATTTCGCGCTTTTTGTACTAGCACGATTTATTGGTGGCATAAGTAAGGGTAATATATCCCTATGCATGTCTATAATAACGGATGTCTCTAGTGTAAAAACGCGAGCGATTGGTATGGCGCTTGTGGGTGTAGCGTTTTCAGTGGGTTTCATTGCTGGTCCCGTGATTGGAGCGTTATTTGCATGTACATTAAATAAAAAATCGGAATCATGGTACGTGGCACCAGCATTGTGTGCCTTTACATTGGCTATGTGTGATTTGGGAATAATTGCATTTAGACTTGAAGAAACGCTACCAAAAGTAAGCAATTCAATATTAATGCCACAATGCTTTTTTTTATTTTGTTTTAATTACTTCATAGGACAAGCGAGTAAAAGAAATATCTTCTGCAATTTCATACGCCATGCAATTTCTGGATGTTCGTTCCATTTTCAAGTGAGTGTTTACTGTATTTACACTTTATTAAAACCTAATTTACGAATTTGTTCTGGTACTGCAAAAATTTTCTAACTCTTCTGAATGGTGTGCTGTTTTTAATTTGTTTTTGCTTGTGTTATCTAAACTTTTTTCTTTTGGACTTATACGAGTATACATACATTAATGAAGTTCAAAGCAGTGCCCACAGTCACGTTTTGCCAAAGAGATTATGCGAAACGTTGGTTTTTATCACTACTTTAAGCATACAAATATACATATGTGCGTATATATGTGCTTAAGTAATTTTTTAGTAATTAGATAAGGTTACTAATTATTTTCAAGTATCGTTTCCTTGTTTTGCCACTATTTAACGTATTTTTTCATGACAAACTAGTTTCCATATATTGTACGTACTTATCTGTATATTTATGATTAATATTACATTTGCACATATTTGGGTAATTTTAATAGGCTTTAACCCTATCCAATCATTTTAAATACTTCAGACGACAAATTATATATATATATATATATATATATATATATATATATATATATATATATATATGTGTGTGTGTGTGTATGTGTATAAAGGTTTTTATATATTTTAATGAAGGATTTTAGAAACAAAATATTTACAAGTGATCAAATGTACATACATAAAAGCATTTTTACCATTATTCTACTCATAAACAGCTTTTCAGCAATTAAAAAAGTTTCTCAAAAGGAAATAAACGCACTTCGAAAAATAGGACTTATTTACTTCTTGTATCTATTTTTGTATTCTGGTTTGGAATTCACTGTAACATTCCTAATGTTTCACAAATTCGGCTACACTTCCATGGATCAAGCTAAAATGTTTCTAATGACTGGTAAGTGTAATGAACATCTTCTAATAACTGTAAAAAAAAATGTTTTTTTTTTTGCGTTTACAGGCGTTGTTATGGCCTTATTGCAAGGTGGAGTTGTTCGGCGACTTCCTCCGCAGGCGACAAAACCATGTGCAGTGTTTAGCTTATATCTGATTGTACCAGCATTTATATTGGTTGGCTTAGCCAAGGATGAACGCCTACTATATGCTGGCATGTTTCTATTTGCAATTTGTAAGTTTCTCAATAGGATATTTCCTCTACGCTTGTTTATTTGAAAATATATTACAATTTATATTTAAACACAAATTTGTTAACAAACTGGAAATCAAAGTCGCAAATAGCTTAAATAATTTTCTTGTTAACAAAATTTAACCCAATACAAAATCTGCTGGTATGAATCATTTAATATTTATTTTTTTTTAGATGTATTTTATTTTTATTTTTTTTTAGAAGTATTTTATTTTTATTTTTTTTCAGATGTATTTTATTTTTATTTTTTTTTAGATGTATTTTATTTTTATTTTTTTTTTTAGATGTATTTTATTTTTATTTTTTTTTTTAGATGTATTTTATTTTTATTTTTTTTTTAGATGTATTTTATTTTTATTTTTTTTTTAGATGTATTTTATTTTTATTTTTTATTTAGATGTATTTTATTTTTTTTTTTTAGATATATTTTCAGTTTTTTTTTAAATAAAACCAATATTCAAATAAACAATAGAAGCGAATAAATACTTAAATATGTGTATATGCGTATACGATTATTTATTATATAAATTGTTTATAAACCATATTCTATCCGCAGCTACTGCTTTCGCTGTCACCTGTCTAACCACATTGGTCTCACGCTATGGTAACGATGATCAAAAGGGTTCAGTCCTTGGCATTTTCCGTTCATTGGGGGCTTTGGCACGTGCTATTGGTCCCGTTGTCGGTTGCATCTGTACGTAGTACTGCCAAACTGTGATAAAGTTAAAGTGTTTTTTAATTGTTTGTTTCATTTTTCAGCCTTTTGGTGCTTTGGTTCAAAACTAACTTACATTACTGGTGGTATTCTACTGCTTTATCCAGCATATGCCTTGCAACGAGCGAATCTCTAAATGTATACAAAAATTGTATTTCATAGTTAAAAAATGTAAAAAAAATTCTATGTATTTTTAATTGTTTAATTTTTATATTGCGTACTTATTACCATGATAGTATTTAAGTATAACTATTGTACTACAAAATATCAAACTAAATAACAACAATAAAAAGTGTACATATAAATTAACTATTAAATAATTTGCTTCTATGAATTTATAGTTCTAACAAAACTGTTGAAATATTTGAAAGAAAGAATAAATTGAACTATAAAATAAATTCCGAAAGAGAACTCAAAAGTGATAAAACGCTATTTCAAATAAATTTCATAGAATGGAATATTGAAAGGCCTTTGCACCATATTGCGGGATATAAATCGTCCGTAAAAAAACAATAAATAAATAATAAGTAAATAACGATAAATTGAAAAAGAGGAGATGTTCCGAATATGTCTAAAATATTATCGTAATAGAATAGCAAATGTCGTAATAGATGAAGTACTTGTTTTCCTTTTGATTTTCGCCTTCGTTGCACGCCATATTTGATATTGAACAACGGCACTCTAATCGAGAAGAAGAAGATATTTTCTTGTGTCGTCGTCGTAGTTGTCGCGTAAAAAAAGGTGATTAAGTTTCTAAAGTTTTAATAACCATAAGAATTCCATTATTTGGATTTATTTGTAATTACAACAATTCTTTTTCATTTATTAAACGTGTACAAGCGTAAAAGAATAGCACTTTTAAGTGTTTGACAGATAATCGTGTATATAAATTTTGGGCGAATTCTATTGGAAATAAAGTCACGAATGATATACACGCAATTAAGTCGGAGTAAAATGCTGAAGCAGTAGTAGCGACAGCCTCTCAATCAGCGTGAAAGAAGTCACCGCCCCGTCATTTTTCTAATTTAATATTTTCTTTTTTTCTTTCATTGGTTTTACGGACTGTGCTGTCGTCGTGGTCACCGACATTTTTGTCACCCATCCGCTGGACCGTCGTTTCGCCCTTTGATTTCACTGTCGCTTTGTGTGTTTGTGTGTCATCGCATTTCGGTGAATAATCGTGGATTTTTATTACTACAAAAAGAGCTTTGAAAAAGAGATACGCAAATTACATACTGAGAAGAAACTTTCGAAGTAGAACTGACGATAAAGAAACTTGTAAGGAAAACCGAAGTAAGTTATTATAAAAAAAGGAAAAAACAAGTGGAGTAACTCAAAAAGGGATAAACGCAGGTCACCTAATTGCATACCGAAGCAAGGAAAGAAATAGGCAGAGCCAAACACAATTGAAAAGTAATTCACAGTTTAACATGGGTACAAGGGAAGACGAATACGATTATTTATTCAAAGGTAATTAGAAGAGTATTTTGTATTATTTTAAAACTAAACAAATCAAAAAGTAAAATTACCAATAATGTTAATCTGAAGCAAATGACGAATTGTGAAAAAGTTGCATTGCAAGTGGAACATAATTGAAATAGTCATTCATCAATGTACTGCGATGACGTAGCTTATATGTGAGTTGTTAGTTTGATGTTATTTCAAGTTATGTTTGTGCTTTCTTTAAAAAACTCGCTGACCACACGAATATTGCGTAAAGTGTAGATAAGTGTGTAGGAGAAAATGCCATCTACGTTGACTTGAAAAACGCCGAACTAAAAAAAAAACTAAAACTGGTCAACATTAAACATTTGAAGGTTTAATTGGTGTAATAGTTTAATTAATTAAAGAATGGTCATTAAAACATGAATTTATTATGGTGTTCGTACGCTTTTCGTCACCAGTAGATCAGATGTTCCTATAACTTTCAGCTGTTTTCCATATAAGCCGCCCCTTATTAGATGTTAACGAGTGATCAGCTGCAGTCATTGACGTTACTATCAACCACCACCTCAAATAACTATGCTAGAGCAAAACGCAAATATTAATTGGAAATCTTTACTGCATACCATAATGATTTTTTTGTACAAACACGCATTTAATTAGCTATGGTTCTTAGATGATTGACGTTCTTGTGACACGTTGCATAAAGAGTTACCGCTGGTTAACGAGCATATGTATGCGTATTTTGATCAAAGTTTCGCTTCAATAAATTTAGAATTTTTTTCGTTTTTGTCAACTCTCGCTATCACTACTAACAAAAAACCATTGTTATCGTACTCATTTTATATTATAGTAAAGTTTTATGGTTTTCTGTTATAATTTTTTTTATGGAAAATATGAGGTGGAAAAGTTCTAAAAACTTAATATTGTTGCTATTTATGTATGGATGTCTATATTTATGTATGTATGTATGTATGTACATACATTAACGAGAACAACAGATGCAACGAGTTTTCAAATATTCTCCCCTTCTATACAGTAACAACGTGAGTGTGCATTAACTGGACAATTAATTTCCTTTGTTGCTTTATATTTACAATTACTCTGTTTTTCTCAACATATTCTTTATTGTTTTTGTTCCCTGCATAATACCGGATTTCTTTCTCAGCACTAAATTATTGTATACACACAACACATGTACATACATATATGAAGTATACTAGATGGTCATGTATTTCATATGTATGCGTGTTTATGTTTTCCATTAAAACTTCTTTAATCTCATTTTATTTTGTATCCGCTTTCTTCAGTCCATTGGATGGATGCTAGAAGTTATCCAGTAATGAAATTGCTAAATATGTAGAAACATATGTGGGTACATACATATATATATAAGTACATTCTTATATGTATGTATGTATTTACATACTTATTTGCATTAGTAATCATTTGAGCTTTTGGGAAGCTTATACAATGAAATTTTCTTTTTTTTTATATACATACCTATGTTATTATAAGTATTTTTTACAATTCCATTGACATAACTAATTTTTATATCTAAAATTTTTGAATATAAGTTACACATCGAGCATTCGCTTTACAATGATTTTTATAATAAAAAAGAAATAAAATCCCAAATTGAATGATTCATGTGCTAATTTTATTCAGTTTCTTATCAGTATTAAATTTCTTAATGGTATTTTAAAATTTAAAAATATTCTTACTAAGTAGTGGTCTTGGATATACATATGTATGTATATGTTTGTGTATGCAATAGAAATTCAAATACCATATATGTATAAGTATGTAATGTATATATTAGCAAATTCAATTACTAATGCGCAGAGAGCCAGCCTTTGTTAATCGCAATCATTTTCAATACTGAACAGCGTAATCGAAGGGGGATTTAAAGATAAAATGCAAAATAAATAAAATCTAAATGCTAGGAAACTAATTGAAAACAAATTGTATGAATTTCATAATACTTTCACAATGCCTAACATGACAAAAAGTCTTGCGACCTTAAGCTTTCATCATATACATGGATGACCGCTACAACAACAAGATACAGATGTATGTATGTGAGCGCTTGCCTTAATTAAGTGATGAGCTCACTTCAGAAATCATTTTAACATCTTTAAAACATTTAACCTCCATATTTTTCTTTTACTTTCATTACTACAGTTGTTTTGATTGGCGATTCCGGTGTGGGCAAAAGTAATTTACTTTCCCGCTTTACACGCAATGAATTTAACTTGGAATCGAAGTCGACAATTGGCGTTGAGTTCGCCACCCGCAGCATAGAGGTAAGCTATACTCAGTAAAAATTAAAAAAAAAAAAGAAATTCACTGCTCAATTAGAATAATATGAACTTACAAATTGACTTGCTTATATATACATATGCATATGCACTTTGTCATAACTATGTTTTTGACATAATTAACCATTTATTATGGCTACATTTAGAAAACGAAACACCGAAACACTCCACGAATACTTTTGCACAACAAAAAACAAACATTTATTGTTTAGATGTTTAACTTTAGCATAGAATTTCTAAAATCCAATTAAATTTTTAATTTGTTTACAATATTTTTCTCAAACTTGACCAAATGTCTACACATACTTACGCTTCTACATGTATTTAGGTTGATGGCAAAACGATTAAAGCGCAAATATGGGATACGGCCGGACAAGAGCGCTATAGAGCCATTACTTCTGCTTACTACCGTGGCGCTGTTGGTGCATTACTCGTCTATGATATTGCCAAACATTTGACATATGAGAATGTTGAGCGGTGGTTGAGGGAATTGCGTGATCATGCCGATCAAAATATTGTCATTATGTTGGTGGGCAATAAGTCCGATTTGCGACACTTGCGTTCAGTGCCGACAGATGAGGCGAAACTTTTTGCCGAACGCAATGGGCTGAGCTTCATTGAAACTTCTGCCCTGGATTCGACGAACGTTGAAACTGCATTCCAAAATATACTCACAGGTCTAATAAGAAATATAAAATACCATTTTACAAGAAGTTAATTATTATTTATACTTCTTTTTATTTTTATTTTCCTTTAGAAATCTATCGTATCGTATCGCAGAAACAAATCAGAGATCCACCTGAAGGTGATGTAATTCGTCCAAATGTGGAGCCCATCGATGTAAAGCCGACTGTTACGGCCGATGTGCGCAAACAGTGCTGTCAGTGACCGCCTTATGCACATACTGCAGTAATTTTTAATGTCATCTATGCATAAATAACAAAAAAAACAAAAAACAACAAACTATACAATAAACAACTATGACCACAATACCCCAAAAATAAACCGAAATCAATTCCAAACTACACCAGCGGCTACAAAACAACAGCTAAAATATTAAAGAACAAAAAGAAGCCGAATAATTATTAATGTTCATTATATTAAATGGCAAGGAAACGATTGAAACAGAAAATAGTAAACTGCAATGAAAGTTTTTGAAGAAAAGTAATAAAATAGATATGTAATTATAATTTGAAAGCGTATTTTCTAGATAAACAGCAAAAAAAGTAATAAAAAAAATCAGGATAAAGTGAGCAATGAAATCCACTCAAAGCTATTCCTACACTTAAGAGTTTCGCCATATTTGTCTCCACTGTTTCAAGACGTAATCCCATAAATTTATAGACCTACTTCAAAACAATTAGAATCAAGCAAGCTGAGTTATACCAATCACCTTATTAATTATATAGAATAGCTTCCATATGTTGCGTTCTAATTCTTAAAACTGTTGCTTTATCATTTTTATTAGTTCATTTTATTTCAAAGCGTATTTACCATTTTTTATTATTTATTATGAAGACGCATTTCTTTACAAACATACATGCATGCATATAACTCGTTAAAAAGAGCATAGTTTCTGAATGTAAATTTATTTTTTCTTTTATTCAAAAAGGATTGTAAAACTATTGTAAATGTTTTAGTAAAAAGTAATGCTAAGGCATTAATAAATATCGAAATTTATAATTTAAATATACATACATATATTAACTAAATTAAGAGGAACACCACACTCACATATACAAATGAAAACTGCAAACAATTGAATATTCTGCTTTTTTTAAATTAAAACAAAGAAAATAAAATAAATAAAATTTTATATAAAACTCTAATAAAGTAATCAAAACAAGAAAATGTAGAACGAATAAAGTCAACACAACAATGCACACGCTATACGCAACGATTAGTTCGCAAACACATATTCGATTGTATGTATGTACTTGAGCGTGAAAGTGAATAGTAGGATTAGCGAAAGCAATAGCTTGTAGTACGAAAGAGCAACACTTGAAGTAACTTAAATTGGGAGTTAATTTAGCTGGTGCGCAGCCAAACAACAGAAAACAGTATGCGAAGATATAGATAATAGCGAAGCTAAAGGTGGCTATAGCGGAGAGAATGCATAGTGGAATAAAAATTAATTAACCCTGGTAAACTTATTTGAAATAAGTAAAGAAAAGCGAGACAACGTGTAACAACAGCCAGTTGTAAATTATGAGGATTATAAATTTAATGAATATATAATTAATCAATTAATTGATTAATGCGATTATATTGTGTTTTGCTATATTTACCTATGTTAAGTGTATCTAAATAAATAAAATAAAACATTAAAACAAAAATATGTGCTTCAAATGTGTTTTGCAGATTTTATTAAAAACTCTTGATAAATATCTTGAATTAGCTCATTTCAAAATATTCGCTATTCCATCGCTACTCGGATATCGGATATCAGTATTACAAATAATCATAGTTGTTGTAGCGACGGGCAGGTGCCATTAGTCGATGTCACTTAACTGGAGGCTCGGTAATCAACTATTTCGAGAGGTGGTTAGTGTTGTTAAGTGGTAGGCGCTACTTATTTCCATGGTTTTCCATTGAAATATAGTATCTGAATCCGAAAACCGGTATAATTTCATTATCAGCGGGTAAAACATAGAATACATCGAAGTTTAATTTTCAAATTCTTTGAATATGCTCTTATCCGGAACGCCCTCTATTTACAACCCATTCACGATGAATTGACAATGAACAATTGTGAATTATGTATATTGCTATGAAGAAGAATGTAAACACGCGGATCCTCATGGTATTTGGTTGATTATTTTATTTTTGAATTGAGTTTGAAATTATTATTAAACAAAAACATAAGCAATTAAACGCAATATATAAAAATGGGAAAAGCTAAAAAAAAGTCACATCCGAAAAAGCGCACAGCCGCTTTCAAAGGGAAAGAAGCGAGTGAACTTGTGGAGGCACCACATTCTTTTATAATACATCGTGGGCTATCCTGTCCATATATAACTGATTTAACATTGGATTTTCGTAAAATCATGGAGCCGTTTACAGCATCTCAGCTAAAGGAAAAGAAAATTAATCGTATTAAGGATTTTGTTGCAATGAGTGGCTTTTTTCATATCTCACATATGTGCATTTTTAATAAAGCCTCTTCACAGTTGTCGTTCAAAGTGGTACGAATGCCGCGTGGTCCTACATTAACATTTAAGGTAAATTATGAGTTAAATATTTTAAAAACTTTACTTAAAAAACAAGGAACATTAACAGGTACACCAATTCACCTTAGCGCGCGATGTACTCTCAACTAGTAAACGACAATTTGTAGACGAAGACATGTTCAAACACTCGCCACTTGTCATTATGAATAATTTCACAGGTGATGGCAAACATCTGAAATTGATGGCCAGCACGTTTCAGAATATGTTTCCAGCCATCAATTTAGCGCAGGTTTTTATATAAAATATTTTTTGTCCATTAACTTACTAATTAAATTTATATTCTTTCAATTATCGAATAGGTGAATATTGCCACAATTCGTCGATGTGTACTATTCTCATATACACCGGATACAAATTTAATAGAGATGCGCCATTATTCCATACATGTGGTACCGGTTGGCTTGACGCGCGGTGTTAAAAAACTTGTCATGGGCAAAATACCAAATTTATCTAAATGTGAAGATATTGCCGACTTCATAATGCAGTAAGCATAGCTCTCTTTCACAATTATCGTAATTATTTCCACTATACATATATCTTTACAGAGACGGTGGTGCTTCTGAGTCTGAAATGGAAGATGATGAACAATCCCAAGTAGTTCTGCCACAAACGCTTAAAAGAAAGGGTAATTTAGAGGACAATAAGTCGGCTGTTCGTCTTTATGAAATTGGCCCACGGCTAACATTACAACTAATGAAAATTGAGGAAGGTTTACTTACTGGTGAAGTACTCTATCATGACCACATAGTAAAGACGGAAGAAGAAAAAGAAGCGTTACGTAAAATGATTGAGAAGAAACGTAAACTCAAAGAGTACCGTAAGAAGGTACAGGAAGAAAATCGTTCACGTAATTTACGTGCAAAAGAAGAATCTGCGGGCAAACGTAAAAAATCGAGAAGCGAAGCTGCTGCCATTGGGGATGAAACAAAAGAAGATAGTGAACCCGAAGATGATAAGGAATATTATAAGGAAGAAGTTGGTGAAGAACCTGATGAAGGTAAGTTTTTACAAAAAAAAAATAAAATAAAATAATTGTAATTTATAAAATTGTATTTTCAGAACTTTTTAAAGATGAAAGCAAAACACGAAAACGCGCCAGTTTGCCTTCGAGTATGAAATATAAAAACAAAAAAATCAAAAAAGCGCAAGAAAAAAAGAAGTAATTGTAACCAAATATATTTTTGCTTATTAAAAAAAAATATCTACTATATATGTTTTAAGAATCAAAATTCTTTACTCGTAAATATATGTATTTATAACTTCTAGATTACAAAAATTATGCTAGTTACATGATACTTTTTAATCTAATTGAACATACGTTTCACTAGATTTTTATATTGTTCGTTACTAGACTTCCAACTTTCCGCAAGGCGTTGATGTAATTTAAAGAATTCCTTTTTTTCTTGATAGTTGGGTATCGACTCAATTAGTTTCTGAGCCTTTTCATATTCTTTGAGTTGATAAAATGCCATCGCTCGTCTGTAAACACTTTTTTCTGTTGAATTAGCTTCTTCCTCCACAAATTTGGTTTGATATATCACATCCTCAAAGCGTTCCTCACTCAGCAAACAAGCAGCCAAGTTGGTTTGAATTTGTGTAAATAACAATTTCATAGCTTCGCCGGAAACACTATCACTACTGGCTGACAAATTTTCAAATGGTTTGTAAGAAATCAAAACTTTGGCAGCGCGAGCAAAATAGTCATGTGCAAAGATAGGGTACTGTTTAAACATAGCAACACCGTTCTCCTTATATCGCAATGCTAACGCGTATATTTCTGCAACATTTAGTTTATGTATCTCTTTTGTTTCATGTATTTTTAATAAAGTTAATATAAAAGTGATGTCCTCTCCTTTCGTGCTGATGTAGCAGCGTGCCCGTTCACCTGCCACTAGTTGCCTTACCAGTAGTTCCACATAGCAATCAACAGGCGTTAGTGAGCTGCCCATTTCTACTTTTTGTTCTTGTCCTAGCAATTCGTTAGATAAGTATCGACTCTCACGTCCATTTAAGTTTTCAACATCTTCAATTTTTATTGCAACTTTGGAAAACAAATGAGGCTTGACTAACTGATTGTAGTTATCCAAAGAAAGTACTTGCTTTCGTAAACCTTTAGATGACAATTTCCACTCAGTACCAATGTACCACGACATTGGTTTAAACTTCTCCATTCTTATTAACAATTAATAAAAGCGAAAGTTTTCTAAATTTAATAAAATTAGGGACACAAATAGAAGTTTCTTTTGACAATATATTGAATATGATTGACGTTTAAAACAAAAACAAATTCAGAGCTGCCAAACTTTTCCGTTTCGCTGGCATGTTTAGATAAATAGAGGGTGTTCTTTTAAGAAGAGCGGAAATTTTATTGGATTATGTGTTTTTGTTCAAATTTTGCTGGTATGGTAATAACACTAAGTTACTGCTAGTCATATTCGACTGCCTGTATTCTTTCACTGACATAGGACTGCAATTTCCACAGAGCCGCAACGAAATCCTGAAATCGTTAATCGGTAGCGCTTGTTGATTTGGGGAAAAGACAGAGAAGCAGATGAGATTAGTAGTCGGGCCGGCCGTAAATTACGACATCGGGGACTAGCGAGACACAGATGAGGATGTTACAAGCGTGTCAGAGCAATGCCCTTAAAATTGATGATTTAGACTAACTAGCCTGTCCCTGGAGGGGTCGGAAAATCGATATTAAAACAACAACGACACCCTTTGAAACATGATAAGAAACCACTTGATATCACCAGCGCAGCATTTGTATAGTCAAACATCTCAGCTACAAGTTAAGGAGCATGAAGTTACTCTATGCAAGCAATACCTGCTGTGTAGCATCACAACGCATGTACTGCAGGCATTTTCGCATGACACTGGAAACTAATTCATATAACCCCCTGTACCTCGAGCCACCTCGTTTCTTGGCCTTCCCGTTAGATGATGGCTACAACAAGAACAATGCTTGATCTATATGTAAATTTAGAAATAATCGACATAATTTCAATTTTTGGCATATTTAAACTTTATTATTTTTTTCTTAGTTTTGGCTTATTTCGTCATGCAAAAACAATTTACAATTAGGATTTCTTAGATTTACGTTATTTTTATAATAATAAATTAAACAAAAGTATTCGCTTTATTTATAATCTTAAAATATGTAGCATTTACAATAATCGACCTCAAACTGTTAATCCCGTTATGTGGTCCGATGCGGCCCAATTTACTAACTAGTCAGTGCATTTTAGTTTTTTTTTTAGCTTATTTAACGAAAAAATTCATTTAATTTTGAAGTGAAAATAAACACATATGTTCTTGTGTCTCTGATATCCATGTACATTCACGTATGTATGTATATATGTACATACACTTTCAAGCATGTGATTTAAAAATAATTTAAGGCATTCCATAAACTCTATAAATTGCTCATTAATAAATAAGTTAAATTAGTATTTTAACATAATAATTTGAATAATTTCGTTATGTGTAAATATGAAATACAGTGTTTATATGTATGCAACGAATGCATTGTATGCGTCTAATTACTCAAGTACATACTCGTGGTTTATACATACTTATGTGCTTATAATACAATTTTAAATGGTTTTCAATGATATAAGAAAGAAAAAGTAGAAACAAATATTTATCCGTTTAATAATATTGGTGTGCATTTTTTGGTTTTGCATTAAAAAAATGTCATTGCTGGCATTCATATCTATATTTCTATCCTACTGGTTTCCGTTTCAATAATTTATTTCTTTAGATATTTTGTTTGCTTTTCTCTAATTAAATATACTTTTATTAATTGGCATATATTAATTATAATTACTTAGCATATTGTAACTATTTAGTCTTTTAATTGTGTATTTGCAAAATGTATGCAACGAAATTTTGCGCTTCACTTTATTATTATTATTTTTCTGTTAAAATTCATTATACCGTTATACATTTTCTTAGCTTTAAAACTTTTCAATTATATTCAATTAAAATTTGCATTAAAATAGTTTACCCATTTGTGTGTGTGTGTGTGTGTGTGTGTGTGTGTGTGTGTGTGTGTGTGTGTGTGTGTGTGTGTGCATTAATCTGCATTAATCATTGAATCTCTGTTAAACGCAGCATATAATTTGCATCTCACTTGCCTTTTACTTAAAAAAAAAAACATTCTTTATTTAAGATTATTATTTTTTTATTTAATATGTTTTTTTTTTTTAATATTCGTTGACTAGAAATTAATACAAAAAATAACTTAGCATTACAAATAAGCATACAAAAAATATTTCAGCCCTAAAAATAGTAATAAAATTAGTTATGGATAAATACAAAATTAAGGAAAATATAATACAATATGTATATAGCAAGGAAAGTGCAACCAAATGCAATTAGTATTAGCATACAAATATTTTGCTTGTCGAATATAAAAGTTGAATTGATTGTTATTTACAAACTTAATATAAAAAAAAAATTATTTTTTATTATATGTTTTTTTTTTTTTGTAATTTATTTATAACCACACATTTAAAAATGCATTAAAAAACATATCTGATTTGTATAAAATTGTGCACTAAAAGTAGTGAGTGAAATAATTATGTTGCATTTCACAAGATTCGAAATATTGAATTAAATATTTGCGGCTAGCATTATTCAATTTGTTTTTATGGCGCAAATAAATTGATTTTAAACAGTGAACTAAAAAAGTTGCTCGGCATCATTATCAAGAACACATCTCAGCTCATTTAAATATGTAGTGTTAAATTTTCTTCTATAAAAATTTCTTTTTTTTAACGAGCAGCAAGAAAAAAACTTTTGTTTATTTTTGATAATTAAAGTGCAATTAATTGTGCAAGCTATGGCTAAAGAAAATAAAAAATATGCATAATATAATTTGTTTTGTGTCGTATTGTTTGTTTACTTATGTATATTAGTATATTTTGCAGCTTTGTAATTAGGCAGTTTTTTATGGTATTTTTTTTATAATCATTGCTAAATTCAGTACAAAAAAAGTTGTTTCACATGCGTCTAATATTCTTGTATTCTATTTTTTCTTTATACACTTTCGGCATTTTTCTAAAAAAAAAAAAAAAAAAAAAAAAATAGAAAAACAATTAAATTACGGCATGCATAAAAATGAAACGTGAACATTTCATATCAATCGATTAAAGTTGAGCATTTCAACTTTGTAACTAGGAATTTAACACCGATTTATTGCATGTATTTATGTGCAAGTTAAGCAAGAAACAAGTAAAGTGTTTTGGTATGCGATTAATTCATTCGAAAGTAATAAGGCTGATTTGTTTTTAAAAAATTAGTCAAACATAAAAGGTTGCAGCATTCGTTGAGATGAATTCATTAGACAAAAATTGTTTCTTCTTCACAAATCATGAAAGGCAGTGTTCGTATAAAATATTAAAAGAAAACACAAGCATTCAGTCAAACTAAAACTATAAAATTCGACAATAATTATGTGTCATTTCAATAAAACAGCAGTTTAATGTAATTTCTTTTGAAAAAATTAAAAGTAAAATATTACGTACATTTCTAAGTTAAACTTTTTAATATACCTACAATCAGCCTTCAAATTAATCACTTTAAATTTAAGCGAAAACAATTTGCTCAATTTTTGTAATAATTTTCGTTTTTGTTTTTTTCATTCTTCAACGCGCACAAATTTTTTTTATAACAACTTTTACAATAATTACTACTTTAAATAACTACATTACAATTTGGTTCGACGCCCGTGAAGGTCGCTTAAATTGTTCTTTTCTGCTTTAATTTTATACTTTTCCTTATAAAATCACAAATTTAGAATATTGTTTTGTTTAATGCTTGTTAATTATTTTACTTTCATTAAGAATTGCATTTAAACCAATTTCAATTTACAATTACGTTAATTTAGCTTTTAATTCGAATGTTTCTTTTAATACCAAACGACATTTAGTTGCTGTCTTTGTCGTTTCACGTTGCAATGCGCATTTTTTTTTAGCTCAATTTATAACCGTTAACCGTATAAATTCTAAATATAAAATCTAGATTTCTTTGTTTATTTTTTTTTTTTTTGTTTGTAGAGTAAATGCTGGTTTCTATATATATATATTATTATTATTTTATAACTTTGCGGTTTTTATTAACTTAAAGTAGTCTAGTCTGCGTTTTGATTTCTAATAATAATATATTTAAGTATCTATTTTAAATCATTTGTTAGTACAGTTAAGTTGGTTTTTAATCATTAGTGCTGAAGTATTTTAAACTTCTTGTTTTTTTTTTTGGACATTGCTTCTCTTGAATTTTGCTTTCTTAAAAATGCATTTCTTTGGCACGCCTACAAGTTGCGCGCTAGTAGTCTTCTAAGAAATTCGCATGTTGTTCAGCACAAGGCAAATATTTGCTCCAAGTCAGCTTACTAACATGCAGCGCATTTGTCTTTGACAGCGAGTAACGACGAATTTGTGTGCTCTATTGTAAGCACATGACGGCTTAATTGATATTTATTTGTTTTTCTTTTTTGCTTTTGGTATACGTTATGCTATGTTAGGAGACATTTTCGCTAAAGTAGGAATTACGTTTTCATTCTCTCATAATCTCTTTCTCATTTCAACCTTTACATTATCATACATTAATCGAACGCTCATTGTTTGGCAACACCAACTTCAGGTAAACGAAATCGGCTAACTCTACATTTGGCTTTAGTATGTTCTCTAAATTCCATTTGCCGCAGCTTTTGTTCAATGGTATCCCGGCGTTCATGTGGTATATGTGCGTATAACATCACGTATGACCGCCCGACATAGTGGACATTGGCCACCACCAACACCACGCCATTGCTCGATTGCGCAGTCATAACACATGCACATATGTCCGCACATATAGAGCACCGAATCGATTTGATTTTCGTAGCAAATCGTACATTCAGCACCAGCGCTGCCATTGCCACTGTGATCGACGGTGTCCTTCCATTTGTTCATTTCCTGTGTTGAGTTGCAGCCATTTACTGAAGTGACGGGCTGTTTGAAGCAACAAAAATAGAAAATATAATAAATTAGTGCCATTGATATGCGTGTTTATTTATTTTTATTAAATTAACTCACCTCAACAAATTGATTGTTGCTCATGGTCGACGAACAAGCGCCGGAGAGTACGCCTGACGTAGGTTGCCTCGTCGCACTCACGCCATTACTGCTAGCACTCACGTTGCTGAGTTCATGCGTGGAATTCGCAGGAGGTAAATTCACAACCAATACAGTACCGCCACCATTGGGCTGTATCTGTATGAGATCACCGCTCGATGGCATACTGATCATATGACCTGTCGCTGTTGCGGTTGTGTTGCCGTTGGTGTTACTGACCGGCGTTACGGTGGACACCGTTGCTGCCGCAGGTACATTACAATGAGCTTGCGCTGCCAGGTTCGCAGCGGAACTGTTCATGGTGTTGTGCGACGCAACTGTGAGCGCCGAAGTGTGTAACATTTTACGCGACTCAGACATTTGACTATTCAGACTGTTCATAGATTCGGCAATTGACATGGCGGCATGTTGTTGGGACAAACGTTGAGTTGACGGTGCGGCTGAGAGTGGTTGTTGCGGATAGTTGACCATGTTGGGCAGCTGTTGGCGGAACATGCGCACCGACTGTGTGGAACCGTAGACATCAAGGAAAGCCCAAAGCTGCAGTGATTGATCGACATGCATAACAACCACAGCAGGACCGTTGTTTTTGCTAATCGTTACCTCACCGTTGGGCGCGACAAAAAAGGCGATTTCATCGCCGCGTTGTGGTTGTGAAGCAATATCTTTGCTCACCACCCAGTATTCGGGACGATCGAGTAGAAAATCCGAGTCGTTGGGCAGGTCGGAGGGTTGCAAGGCGGCCGGATTGCATGAGGTAAGACCGAGCGCCAGTGCGCCCAAATACATTTGTTCGGTTTTGAGTATTTGCACAATCACCTTTTCGCCAATGCGTATGGGGCGCGCTGTGAATACATAACCTTGGCAGAAATCGTTTTCGGTGCGAGATGCAATGAAGCGATCCAAAGAGAGGCGTACATTGCGACCTTTGGTGATATGAAAGGGCACGGGTATCAGGCGACCATTGCCATTGTAACGCAACGGCGGCAACCCGTTAGCCATGTCTTGCGCGTATGGCATTTGTTCCATTGAAATATTCAACGACTGCATTGACGGCAACACATGGCGATCCAAATCCTGCTCAACGGCGGGCAGTGAGCAACGCGATTGCTGATGTGGATGATGCGAATTGAGCGGTATCTGTGGACCAGGCAACGTGGCGTTAGCACTAATAACAGCACTATTACCGGCTGGCAATGCAACTCCCGCAGCCACCAAGCCATTACCGCTCTGCTGATACATATAGACACGCGCATCCAAGAACTCAATTGCTGTGCAATTGCCATAGATATCCACCAAAGTCCAAAGCAAGCCGCGCGTGTCAATGCCGCTTAGTATGACACCTTTCTCTACATTGTTAATGCCATAAATAACATCACCAGCCGAATTAACATAATAATATAGTATATTATCCTTTTCGCAATACTGTTCGTGTAGTGCCTTTGCCCAGAAGCCTGGCCGATTCGTTAAATCCGGACACGCATACTTGGGCAGCGCACCCTCCAGTGTGGCCGGATCGTTGCTGGTGAAACCGAAGCGTATACCGCCATTCCAATTGTTGGAGATTTCTGTGAAACGTACACATATGCGCTCGTTGATGCGCACGGGACGCGCAGAGAAGGTGATTGCACGGCAGAAACTTTCGAATCGGCGTGCTAAGGTACCGTCGCGTGATATTCGTATGTTGTCGCCATGTACGGTGTGAAACTGAAGCGGTGGCAGGTTGTTGGGACCAGGACAGGAGGATGGCGAGCGGCGAACTGGAAGTAAGAGAGTACCAGAAATTTGAATATTGGAGTTTATTGAAGATAAAAATAAATTAGATTACAGATATGTATAGCGCACTATTCATTAATCCATATGTACAGTACAGAAATCTTCTAATCTAATATAATCATATGGAACCGGTAATCTCAAATATTTGTCATAATCTTCAGGGGAGTTGTTGCGAATAAATACTGAAAACCCATACTTTTCATATGTGAGACCGAGCGAAGCTTGAGAAAATGGCTGCCAAACAAACGGTGAGTACAAAACAGCAAAATGAGCAGTGGATTGATCGTGGAAGTGTCTTTTAGCCGATTTATGCTCTTGCGCATCTCTGTAAAGGGTTCATTATAAACTTATATTTTAAGCGCGTTAGGTTAGGCTTATGAGCTTATAATAGAGGTTACTGGTTTGGCGTTATGTTCTAAATATGATTTAGAGCAAGTGGCCGCTGCGTTTGGCTCGAATCAATTCCAGCTGAGATGATCAATTTTCAACTACTTTTGTCAGCAATAACGCGCCAAATATTCTCTCCCAAAGCGTAAATCCTCTGCGCAGCCAATCGAGCCCCACAATAAGTAGCCAAGCGGTATTAAATCGCACGATCTTGGAAGCAACGCTACAAATCACAATTCAGGCACGAAAAAGTCATTAAGCAAGGCTCTATAGTGTTCCCCGTAGACATTGAATTTGAAGAAATATGGACCAGTCATGCCCTCAGCGCATTGAGCACACAACGAAGTACAATTTTAAAGACAAAGGCGAAATTTTTTTTTAATAACCCAACAAACATTTTGGCAATAAACTTGCACCATTTGCAAATTTTTTTCAGATCTAAGTCTGTTCAGAACTAAGTCTGCTCAGAACTAAGTCTGTTCATTACGAAATGCCCAGCCACACTGAGTATAAATCAAGCATAGATCTACTTTTAAAAAGACCAACTCCGAAAGATTCTGCGGAATAACTTTCGTTTAAATATTTCACAAATAAGCTTTTTTATATCCAGACATCTAGTAGAGTATGTTGGAAACAAGCCAGCTGGGCGTTCTTTTGTAGGTCGGGTGCAAAAGTAATCGCCTTACATCAGCTGTTGTGAACAGCCCAATGCAAATAAAATTCACAATAGTGCTATATCAAATATACTCACTTTCAATTTCGATTGCCAATTCTTATATTTATGTACATATATTTTATGTGTGTGTAAATTTCTAAGATTTCGCTTAGAAGCATGATCTTGGCTTATGGATCAAGATAAGACGTTTGTTCTGCAATACAATTGAATTTTTGCCACATGCCACAAGCCACATGCCAATTCCAACTTATATTCTTATACATATGCAAGTACATATGGATGTACATAAATCCTTGTCCACTTGAAAAGCAGCTGGCACATGCTCGTTTTCCATTTTTCGAAAAAAAAAAGAAAATGAAATAAAATGAAAAGAAAAGAAAAAAAACAAATGCGAAGAAATGAAATGTGCAACAACAATTATTGATATTGTACTACCGATCTTTCTTCAATTTTCTTCTGTTGTTGTTGCACACTACAGAGGTCCTGGCTGATGGCGCGTCTGAATCATTATCCTTGCCGACCAACCAGTTTTTCATGCCCCTAAATATAATTCAACCAACAGATGCTATTCCCTACTTGATCCTGTTGCTTTTCTACAGCTAAAAATAAAAAAAAAATTATAACGACAACAACTACAATAACAAATATTGTAGTCCACAATCTCCTACTATCTTCGATCTACATTACAGTGTGTATCCGCTTGCTGGGCTGCTTTTGCGCATGCGTAAGTAGTACACATATGTAGAGCTGTGTACATACATACATTTCTAAAAAAAAAATATATATATACATATATATATATATATACATTCATATATACATTTGTTGGCATGTTAATTTTATTCTATACGGCTGCGCGTCCGTTTCGCTTTTCGTAGCTATTTTTGGCTTTACAACCAGAAGGGTAACTCTCATTGTTGATCTTATTATGCGTGCAAGTGGCACGCGTCTCGGATCGTCCTTATGTCGGCGACGTCGTCGAACGATTGTCTGTGTCGTTGCGGTTGATTTAAATGCAGGCAGCTTTTTTTTATGCTTCTTTCGTGAGCGCGTCAGCCGTCAATGAATATAATTATGTATAGAGATATACATACTTGTATATAAATATGTATGTATCAGCATGTGCTGCGATCAGAGGTTGAACTATCTGTCTGACCGTCTGTCGGCTACAAGTGCTCTTAGGGTATCATGATAATTAAAAGTTTTTTTTTTCGGAATACCTTTGTCGCAACTGCTGCTATTTTTTGGTAGCATTTTTTTACTCAATTATTTTTGGCATATATTCAGTATAAATTATTGAATATTTTTGTGTATATAAGTTATACACAAAACCAGCAGCAAATGAACTGGTTAAAAACTACTTTATAACTGGTATGCCAGACAAGCTCAATTTGCTCCACCAAGCAAGTGAGACGTTCACTAAGATGACAATTGCCATTTTTTTGGTCAGAAATATACTTGAACACTGTACAGTTTTTGTTTAAAAACCAATTTGAAAATTATATAAAAATAATTCTTAATAAACAATAATTCCGTATGCTCAGAAATTCAATAAACTATTATAATGAAATCAGATATTGCGAAAAAAAATAAAATTTTCTATTTAAAATGTAAATGAGCCATTTATGCGGGGAAGCATTTTCATGTAGGCAATCAATCGGTCTTTGAACTGTCGTCAACCAAGCAACATAATCGGGAAATGTGAAAAAACCGAACCTCATGCCGTAATAAAGGTCTAATGAATGTAGATCTCATTAGTTTATAGCCACTGATATCCGGAGAGAGTCATGATGTACAACTCACACTGTTTATTAAACAATTAAAATTCCACCAAAAAACGATCCGAGGCCTGGCAGAATCTTAGAAGTGACCAGAATCTTAGAACTTATCCAAAAAAAATTGAAGAAAATTGTCTTCGACAATGCTCGACTGAATAAGAAACAATTCTTAGAAATAGTTCGAGTATCTGATAAACCATTTAAAAAAACCTGCACGATCACCTGTGCGAGATGGATGTGGAGAATTGCCACTCCTTCTCAAAAACAACAACGCCTAGAGTGATCTCATGCATTTCGGACTTATGTAATAAAGAGAATGCTGGTGTCTTGAGTCGAATTGCTGCTGGAGACGAAACAAGTCTTTATGCAGTGGCCTAAAAATAAGTATAGGGTTATGGAAACTCATGGCAACGGTATTTTGGTACTCAGAAAAATTATTTATTTATCGTTTATGAAAATAAAGATGTTTGTATAACTGCAGTATGCTACTATCATTTGAATGATATGAAAAAAAATATCTTGTCTTACAGCTGCAATTTATATTTATATATATATATACATTTAAAAGAAGACAATTTTTTTTTATTTACACCCCTCCCTCCAAAAACGCGCCCTCGCATACCATTTCCTGTACGTGAGGGGTATAAAAATCTGAAATTTATTCATAACGCGCGCGTATCAAGTGTTCTTATCTTATATTACTTAATGTGTGAATTAGTATAAAAACTATAAGCAAAAATTTAAAAATGTGCTATGACTAAGATTGATAGTCTTATTGATAAAGCAGTCAAACTATTTTCTCGTTAAATTTAATTAAAGCACTTAAAATACTTAAAGAAAGTCTCTTTTATCGCAAAGAAATCACGAATGTATTAGACTTATCAAAGTGTCTAAAAAATAATAATTTAACAGTAATGCAAGCGAGAACACTATTTTTTGCTATTTTCAATTGCGAGTAAATAACTTTAATTATATATAAATATTTGTATAATTTAGTATATACGAGTACATAAAGTATATATTTTGCAAGAATTAAAAGTTTATCTTGAAGCATTTCCAATACTTGTCGCTAACGAATAATGATGACCGCAAAACTAGTAAGTAAAAACGGTATATTTTTGCGTTAAAAAATATATTAATTTATTTATATTGTCATACAAAATGTTGAAAAAACAACAACATTAAACAAAGGACGATTGTGGATAAATATGTTCCCTATGATGCTAGATAAAAAAGGAAAAAAGAGAAAAAAATAAACAAAATGCGCATACTTACATGTGACAAAATAAATATTTTTTGTTAATAAAATTTCAGTTGTTTTCTTTTTTACGTAAATTTATCTGAATATCCGTCTGCTTGTACGCAAAACTGCTCCTTCAGTTCTTGAGATAAAAGGCTTTCCAATATGAGGTGTTATAATGAATAGCCGGTAGATGTCACTTTTGAAGCTGTAAATTTTTCACATTTGACGAGTAAAAACTAAGGAGTAACAAAAATAGATCGATACACCCTTCAACAACTTATTGAAATTCGTAAAATTCAATATAAAAATTTCATCGAAAAATCATCTTTGACTGTTGAAGCTCATCCCCACATCGATGGGGGCTCGGAAAACCTAAGATTTAATGTTGAAAAGCTACTCCATCCTCAACGTGTAACTGTTTGGTGCGGTTTATGGTACGACGCGTTCATTGGACCTTACTTTCTCGAAGATGAGTGGATTGCGCTGTAGAGAGATGATTTTGATTTGATTATAGCCGAAATTGGATGGTGTTGAACTGGAAAGCCTTTACTTTCAACAAGACAACGTCATGTGCTGCACAAGCAACAAAACCTTCGAACTTTTAAGGGAAAAGTTTCTTTGAATGTCAAAATAGCACTTCTTATTGAAAAACTGAAACCAGTTCGAAACGGCCTGATCGGTACATACGTATACAAAAGATTTTGTATTCTCCCTACAAAAATTCAACAAAATATTGATTCTGAAAATCATCGAAAGCCGGCCAGTTTGGACTACTATGTACCCATACACACAACCGATTTTTCAGATTAAAGACTTTGGGTCAAAAACCAGAAAAATGAAATATTTACGAGCGTATTGCTATTCTACACATACATATACAACAAATTAGATATAGGTTCA